CCCCCCGTCAACCGAAAAAACAATAGATTTCAGAGCTTGCAGAAGAACACTGACGAACGGAAGGTGAGTCCATGACCCGCGGTCATCCTTCCGTCCACTTACCCCACAGTAGCTATATCCGTTGGCAATCTGAGGAGCTAGCGCTTTGTCATCCCCAACAACTTCCCGCATTCTGGTGAGATTTTCTCTGTCTGCCGAGACATCCACCTCATCAAACTCAATTTTCTTTCCTGACAGCACATCCTTTATTCTCTGCTGTTGTTTACGAACCTGAAACAGCAAAAAATTCATATAGTACAAAGTAAACTGTATCAATCCAGTATTAAAGCGGAAACCAGACATGCCAACATTTTTTTCTCCTGCCACGTTCCCCTTCCAGCAATTAAAAAAAAAAAAATACATTCAAAAGAATTTTGATAGTGAGTTTTTTAGCTCTGCATAACACCCTAGAGCTTGGGAGAAAGAAAATGCAGGTTCTTTTGGTGAACATGATCTTAGGTTTTGGTCATACCAACAATCAGTGAAATGATCTTCCTTTACTTTAAAATGAACAGACAAGTTATACCACAATGTGATCTCATCTGGGATATAAATTATTTTAGTACCCTGCTCATACAGCAAAGATGTGATACAATTAAGAGAGTGGATGATCTGTGATATGATGGGCAATACAGCAGAGAGGTGATATAATATTAGAGAGTGGATGATCTGTGATATGATGGGCAGTACAACCAGTTCAATCACCTCACAATTTTGCAGCTTTGTCAACTAGCTGTGCAGTCTGTTTTTATTCCGTAAAATATAATCTGAAATGCAGGATCTTAGCCATTTAATAGTCCCTTCAGAGCAAGAATTTGAGGATTACTACTTTGTTTAGTAAAAATACTGTTTTCTCAAAACAATGGGATCTTTTATATATGCGAACCGGAGATAACGTAGGAATCTTAGGCAGAGATGACTACGTACATCAAAATGTTATGACACACAATGGCAAAGCTTACTGTTAAATTAAATGCTTAGATCTAATAAAATTTTACGAAGTTCAGTGAGGAGTGTTCTGTCACTAGATTCTATAGATCTAGATCTAGATCTAGATTCTATATATATATACAAATTGCTGTTCTTTCCTGTCATTTTCATAAAATAAGGATTTTTAAATTTAGACAGGCCTAATTAGACTACAGCCTTGAGTTCGGAACTTGGAAGCGAGTGACTCAACTGGAACGTTTAACACTCAGTTCATGAACATCTAACTGTTAGGGAAGGGCTGCCATAGCCAGGGTTTTTTTTTTATGCCAGCAGTTTGGGTCAACAGCATCAGGCATTTTATAATGATTACTGTTTCATGACTCACTGTCACCAAAGCCAAAATAAACAGCCACAATGGCACACAACTGGGGAGGGGGGGTGTGGAGGAGAGGGACAGCAACTGAAGCAAACATTGTCATTGTGTAGGAAAAGCTTACTGTGTGCACTCTGTCTGTAGGATCAAGGCCCACAGTGTGCTTGTACAGTGCAGCACAGTTAAAAGTTAAAGACAACTCTGCAAACATAGCCTAGGTAGGCCAAGGCCTAGAATCTTTAGAAAAGTCAACATTGAGTCAACACAACACATGAGACGGCAATCAACGTGAAAAAATATTCAGCACAAATAACATTAATTTTCTCCGTGTTTCTGTCCCTCAGAGAAAAATGGAGAAATCTCACTTTTGGTTTGTGATCAACGTCTAGATCTAGATCTAGATCTAGATCTAGATCTAGATTCTAGATCTAGAGTCTAGTGGGTCAGAATTCTTTTGTTCAGTGAATTTTGTAACGGTGGGCGTCGACGTCACGTCCAGCAGTTGCAAGCAGTCGTCCAGCCAAAAAAACAAAAACATCATTCCAACAGAAAAAAACACACACACCGGTCAAAACATTTAGAGATCTATTAAAAGAGCAATAAAACAATTTCATTTACCTCCATGTTAGAGACAACACTGCTGATGTACAGGGTGACTTTTCCAGACATGGTATTCACAATAACTTCACGACGACCGGTCTCCGATTAGATAACTGAAACAATGAAGTCTTTTCCTCGTCGTGAAAAAGCAGGAAGTGAATGAGATCTCGTCTGTCACTGAAGAAGTGACGATTACTGACGATCGGTGTATCGAGGTGAACGACTACTAGGCAAACTCGCTCTTGGAAACACGCCCGATTATTCTGTCATTTTACCTCTATCGGTCAAGTCATGGCAGAGTACGATTCAGATAAAAGTCAGTATGAAATTAAAAAAAATCAGATTACTATTGCTTCAAATTCTTATACACTTACTTTTCCGACTCATCGTCCAGTTGAGTTCTAGCCCTTCGGCACGACAAAAATTCGGACTTTTACAGGAATCGAGTGTCGAGATTAGACTTGTAATCGTTGTCTTGGGAAATCGTAGTTTATCTGATCTGAGGAGCAAGGGAGATTACAAGCCAACAAAACGTAAAGATTCAAAGATCGATAACTCGTAAAACATTAATAGAATGTTCTTTGGCAAAGAGGAAATTCTTTTCACTGTAAATATTTCAAAAGATATTTTCTTCAGTAGAGTATACAGATTTGCGTCGTAACAGTCGTTGTGATTATTTCA